AGCAACTGGACTTTGGTTGAACTTCTCCTTGTAATGTGTAATTTTCCTTGTACATTTCAAAAAGAAAGAAAAGCGAGAAATAAAGAGAAAACTTGTCTTTGGTTTCGTCTTATTTTTCTCAAATGTTGGGGGGGGGGGAAGGAATAGAATCATATATTTTGATGGTTCTTCAATTCTTAATCTTCAGTCTAAAGAAAAAAGCGTTGGAGCCAAACAACAGAATAAAACAGGAGTTATGTACACATTGTGTGTGTGACTCTGGGTGTGATTGCTGAACTTTAACCTCTTGGGACATCTGGGATACGTGCAGCTCAAAAAAGTCAAAATGGCAGCCACAATCACATGACCAAAACTCCTCTTTTTTACATGCCTTCTTGATTTTTTGGGGAGGACCTGCATATAAAGTGTCCTTGAGAATGTTAAATCTTTTCATTGGTCAATGTAACTCAAACTTATCCTCTGAATCGCTGTTTGTCAACCTTGGCGACTTTAAGATGGGTGGACTTCAACTCCCAGAATTCTGGGAGTTGGTCCACCCATTTAAAGTCACCGAAATTGAGAAACATTGCTCTAAATCATTTTTTGAAGAAAATAGCTCTATCAAAACAGCTCCTATCAAGAAAAAAAAGAAAAGAAAGAAAGAAAGGGAGAAGACGATGGGCATATTTCCCCACTAAAACAAATCAAGGTGGAGATGGAGAAAAATACAGATTCCATCTTCTTATCCATCCAAGAGGAACAAAAATGAACCTGGGTGAAAAGTAATCTGCCTTAATTTTATTGATTTATTAGGTTTTTTATATTGCCTTTTTTACTTTTAGAAGTAACTCAAGGTGCAAACATATCTAATATCCCTTTTTCTATTTTCCACACAACAACAATCTTATTATGTGGGTTGGGTTGTGAGAAACTGGCCCAAAATCACCCAGCTGGCTTTCATGCCTAAGGCAGCATTAGAACTCACAGTCTCCTGATTTCTAGACCAAAGTTTTAGCTGAAAGCTAAGTCCCAGGGAGAAATGCAGATAGTTCAGGACTACCTGTATACTACATGCTAAAAAGAACTGTCGATTCTTTAAATAGGCCATTCAGTTGTGCTAGCTTCCCTCAATATATTCTTCTTTAGATGTTTTCTAAAGAAGTTTTCACAATTCTCAGAAGACAATTTCACAGTGTTTTCACAGTGTTTTCACAATTCTCAGAAGACACAAAGAACGTTGGTGCAATCATATCCAAGAGATGGATTGTAATGCAGCTCATTTGCCAGCAGAGGGCAGAAACGTTCTTTTGTACAACTTAAAAGTTATTTCAGTCTTTGATTTAAAAGATTTGAGAGAGAGAGAGAGAGAGAGAGAGAGAGAGAGAGAGAGAGAGAGAGAGAGAACAGATGACATATAGATAGCAATAGCACGTAGACTTGTATATTGCTTCATAGTGCTTTATAGCTCTCTCTAAGCAGTTTACAATGTCATCATATTGCCCCCAACAATCTGGGTCCTCATTTTATCTACCTAGGCTTAGTAGAGATGATAGATAGATAGATAGATAGATAGATAGATAGATAGATAGATAGATAGATAGATAGATAGATACCCTGTTTCCCCAAAATTAAGACCCGGTCTTAATATTATATATTTTTATATATTTTTTTGCCTCCAAAAGAGGCACTAGGTCTTTTTTTTTTTTTTATTGAAATTTTTCAAAAATTTTACAAATAAATATCCCCCCCCTCCCAAACCACCCCACCCTCCCCCCCCCGACTTCCCAGAACTGAATATAGGATTGTTTAACAAATTTTAAAAAATAACGTTTACAATTTATAAGATAATTAATAAAAATGATAAAGGTCATAATAATAATATATATAATAATATATGTAATAATAATATGCATAACATAAGCTTTAAAATGAATAATATATACTAAGAAAGAGAGAAAAAAAAGGGAAAAGAAAAGAGAGAGAGAAAGAAAAAAGAAAAAAGTAGACGAAAAATAGAACATATATATAAAATATATATATATATATATATAAGTAATAATACGTAAAGAGAAAAGGAAGAAAGAAAAAAAGAAAAAACAATCATTACAAGTTATAAAAAAGCTAAATGATATTTTTCCATATCCAAATTATATTGTATGAAATTTATCCATTTTTCCCATACTGCAAAGAATTTCTCTTGAGATTGCTCCTTTAAAAAAGCCGAAATCTTTGCCATTTCTGCCAGATACGAAACTTTGTGAAACCACTCTTGCAAAGTAGGCAAGGATTCCTTCTTCCAATATTGCCCTATTAACAGCCTAGCGGCTGTAATCAAATTTAACATCAATATAACCTCCTTAGCATCACAATCAGTAACAATACCTAATAAAAATAATTGCGGAGTAAATTTTACCCTCCGTTTAAAAATTCTTTGGATATTCCACCATATCTTAATCCAAAAAGCTTTTATATGCTTACACGTCCACCAAGTATGATAATAAGTAGCATCCAAATGTCCACATCTCCAGCATTTCGGCTGCAGATTAGGGTACATAATGGACATTTTCTTTGGATCAAGGTGCCATCTATAAAACATCTTATAAAAATTCTCTCTTAAATTTTGCGCTTGTGTGAATTTAACATTTCTTATCCAAATAAGTTCCCAGGTATCCATTGAAATCGTTTCACCAATATTCTGTGCCCATTTAATCATACAATCTTTAACTAATTCAGGTTCTGAGTCCAATTCCACTAAAACCCCATAAACTCTCTTAATATGGGTTGGCCTTTGATCTCTTACTTGTTTTAAAAGAACTTCATCTTCTCTGAGCCAGCCCATTTTACAATCCATCTTCCATCTGTCCACTATTTGTCTGTATTGGAACCATGAATAAGTTAAATTTTCGTGCGTTAATTCTTCCAAAGATTTTAACTGCCAATCTTGGCCATCCCATCTAAGTAACTGTGCATAAGAGACCATGTCCATATTAACCCCTTTCCTTATGCCTTCTATGGCATGCCGAGGTATAGCCCATAATGGTATTTTGAAGTCAGTTTTATAATACTTTCTCCACACTCTAAGCAAAGAGATTCTTATAATATGAGACTTAAAAACCCAATCCACTTTTTTATTAAATATTAAATAGGCATGCCATCCAAAAAATAAGTCCCAACCTTCCAAATGAAGTATTTCTATATTTGTTAAATTCACCCAGTCGCTGATCAATGTTAATACTACAGCATCATAATACAATTTCATATTTGGCACCTTGAGTCCACCTCTCTCACGAAAATCTTGCATTATTTTAAGTTTCACCCTTGGTTTTTTCCCTGCCCAAACAAATTTATTAATACCATTTTGCCATTCATCTAAATTACGTTCATTCTTTAAAATAGGTAACATTTGAAACAAAAAAATAAACTTTGGCAGGACATTCATCTTGATAACTGCAATTCTACCCATAAGGGATAACTGTAGATTGTTCCAGTTTTTTAAATCCTTCTGTACCTCCATCCACAGCTTTTCATAATTATTTTTATACAGTTTTGCATTGGAAGCAGATAATGTGACCCCCAAATATTTTACCTTATCAACAATTTCAAAATCTGTTAAGTCAACTAAAACCTGTTTATCACCATTAGTCATATTTTTAGCTAATATTTTGGTCTTATTATTATTAATTTTAAAACCAGAAACACGTCCATATTGTTGAATCAATTGTAATAATTTTACCACCGAACAGGTAGGTTGAGACAAAGTAACAACCAAGTCATCTGCAAAGGCTCTTAATTTATATTCTTTTTTATTAATTTCTATTCCTTTTATTTCTTGAGACTCCCGAATTTTAATCAACAAAATTTCCAATGTTAAAACAAACAATAACGGAGATAACGGGCATCCCTGTCTTGTTCCTTTTTCTATTACAAAAGCCTCTGACAGACCCCCATTTACAATAAGTTGAGCAGTCTGTTTTTGATATATATTAGATAATACTTGTAATATATTTTGTCCAAAATTCATCTCCTTAATTAAACATAACATAAACTGCCAATTCACTTGGTCAAAGGCTTTTTCAGCATCCAAAAATATCAGGCCTGCAGAGACTTGGTTATTCTTTTCTAGATACTCTAATAAGTTAATAATTTGTCTAACATTATTTTTCATATACCTTCCAGTTATAAAACCCGATTGATCCTTATGTATAAACTGCTGCAAGATCCCCATAAACCTATTAGCTAAAATTTTTGCAAAGATTTTATAATCCACGTTTAAAAGAGATATAGGCCTGTAATTTTTAGGCAATGTAAGATCTTGATTATCTTTTGGAATCAATGATATAAATGCATTACGCCAAGATGGAGGGATCTCTAAACCCTGTAATAAGTTATTAAACAATTCACACAATGGTTGAGTCATCTCTTCTACTAAAGTTTTATAATAGATAGATGTCAACCCATCCGTACCCGGCGCTTTGCCCAATTTCAGTTGTTTAATTGCTGTAACAATTTCTTCTTTAGTAATTAAGCCATTAATCTCTTTTTCCTGATCTTCTGTTAATTTAGGAAAGTTAACTTTACCTAAATAATTGTTTATGTCTGTAGTTTGAATATTAGCACTCTTGTATAATTTTTGGTAGTATTCTAAAAAGGATTTCTTAATCAATTCTTTCTGATAGACCAATTTACCATTATAATTTATTTTATCTATATTCCTCTGTTTCTGTTTCTTTCTTAACTGATAAGCCAACCATCTCCCTGGTTTATTAGCATTACAAAATGTATTTTGTTTCATAAATAGTAAATTGGTTGCAGCTTGATCAGCCATCAACATGTTAAATTGTGTTTTTAACAGTTTTAAAGCTCCTTTCACCTTTTCGTCTAAAGGATTTGAAATTAAAAGTTTCTCTTTTAATTTAATCTCCTCTTCTAAATCTTTACGTTTCTGAGTCTGTTTCTGTCTATGCAAGTTATTCATTTTTATCAAGATACCACGCATAAAAGCTTTACTTGCATCCCACACCATTGATATTGATGTTCCCTTATTCATATTTAAAGCAAAATATTCCTTTAAAAAGTTTTCAATTAGCAATAATCGCGCCTCGGATAAACCTCATTGGCTACGATACTGCCACTGCGCAAAGCTAAGAGGCACTAGGTCTTAATTTCCGAGAATGTCTTACCTTAGGACCACTGCAACCAGGCCACCCATGCCTCTATAACTGTTGCGCCACTGCTTGACTTCTTTTGTGGCTGCTTGCCACCACTTGTGGCAAGATCCCATTGGCACATTGCGCCATTGAGGCTCCTCCCAGCAGAACGCCGCATGGTGCTTCGGGCCTCTTCTGTTGCTCATACGCTAAAAGTCCCTTTCCAAAGATAGCTAAGAAGGAAAATAGGTAAAAAAAAACCAGGTCCTAAAGTCACCTGAACTGAACTGAATAGAACAGAATAGAATAAACAGATTGTAGAATAGAATAGAATAGAATAAACATTGTAGAATAGAATAGAATAGAATAGAATAGAATAAACAGATTGTAGAATAGAATAGAATAGAATAGAATAGAATAGAATAGAATAGAATAGAATAGAATAGAATAGAATAGAATATATGCGGAACTTAGGTTTGGCTAGGGGAGACATGATAGAAATATTCCAGTATCTGAGGGGCTGCCACAGGGCAGAGAGGGTCAGATTGTTCACCAGAGCACCAGAGGGAAGGACAAGAAACAATGGTTGGAAAATAATCGAAGAGAGAAGTAACCTGGAATTAAGGCGAAACTTCCTGACAGTGAGGACAATTAACCAGTGGAACAGCTGACCTCCAGATGTCATGGGCTCTGCATCACTGGAGGTTTTCAAGAAGAGACTGGACAGTCAACTGTCTGAGATGGTATAGGTTCTCCTGCTTGAGAAGGGGGCTGGACTAGAAGACCTCCAAGGTCCCTTCCAGCTCTATTCTATTCTAAATATAAAAATTATAATTATAAACAAATAAAACATAAAACAAATAAACTCAAAGGGCAGACTTGATGGACCACTAAGTTTTCCAGCTGTCAATTGTTTATGTTTCTGCATTTCTCTGCCTCTTCTCAACTGACCTGGCAAGGATGCAGCCCTTTACAAGTTTTCAAGTTGCAACTCCTGTTGAAACTGCTGTTTGGGTAACTACGACTTGTTTAACCTCATTTGGAGAACTGTTATATTACAGCCTACTGTTTTCGAAATAAGTTGGAACTACAATTCCTATAAACCCCAACAAACCCAGCCATGCTATTTGTGTGAATTTTAGAATTTGTTTCAGCTTGGCTGGTGAGCACCCCCCACAATTCACTAGCAAATTGACAAAATGAAGTTCGTTTTATCAGAACGTCGACTTTGATGTGAGAAACCTCACGTCTCTAAAAACTCTATTTTCTCGTAAAAACCGCAGCTTCTTGAATCACCATCTTCCCATTTATTGACAGATGGTGATCCATGCCTGACCCCATCAGAATACACAGTGTTGGTTTCAAAGCAAATGTAAAAGTTCTGGGATTTCCTTGTCTCTAATGTGATGGTTGCGAGATGCTTTGATCTGATTATTTGTTTTCAAGGTCATGGCGTTCTCCTTCTGTTATTTCTTTTTTGAAGATCTATGCTACAATTTTTTTCTGCTGTTCCTTCAGGCATCACATAAAAAGGTTGAGATACAGGGTAAAATAAAATCAAGCACTATCATGACTCAGAAAGGTAAGGAATGAGGACCCAGATCCTTCACCCAGTTCACGAAGACCAAATATGATTCAGGTTTCGGTGTATCAGACAAGGAAAGTGCCAAGACTAGAATAACAGAATAACAGAGCTGAAAGGGAACTTGGAGGTCTTCTAGTCCAACCCCCTACTCATTTCAGATACCATTTCAGACACATTTATTTATTTATTTATTTCTAAAATTTATATGCCGCCCAATCCCAAGGGACTCAGGGCAGCGTACAAAATTAAAACAATAATATAACAATAAAACAATAAAATAAATACATTCATACAGCGTGTCCGATCATATCCCCCCCCCTGGGGACATCAGCCCCAGGCCTGCCGGAACAGGAGAGTTTTAATGGCTTTCTTAAAGGCCGGCAGGGTGGGAGTAGTTCGAACCTCAGGGGGAAGTTGATTCCACCAGGTCGGAGCCACTACAGAAAAGGCCCTTCCCCGAGGGCCCGCGAGCCAACATTGTCTGGCCGACGGGACCTGAAGGAGGCCCAATCTATGGGACCTCACCGGTCTCTGGGAACTGTGCAGCAGTATGTGGTCCTGTAAGTAACCTGGCCCTATGCCATGAAGGGCTTTAAAGGTGATAACCAACACCTTGAATTGCGTCCGGAGACCCACAGGAAGCCAGTGCAGCTTGCGGAGGATAGGTGACACGTGGGCATACCTTGGCGCGCCAACACCAACTGCGACCTGTCAGAGAGGTAGGAGGAGAACTACTGCAATATGGTGCCGCCCACCCCCACCTCTCCGAGACGACGCAGAAGGATACCATGGTCGATGGTATCGAAAGCCGCTGAGAGGTCAAGAAGCACCAGGATAGAGGAATGACCCCTATCCCGGGCTCGCCAGAGGTCATCGGTCAGTGCGACCAAAGCAGTCTCAGTGCTGTAGCCGGGCCTGAAACCAGATTGAAAAGGGTCCAGATAATTAGTTTCATCCAAGGATCGCAAGAGTTGGGACGCCACCACCTTCTCTACAACCTTCCCCACAAAGGGGAGGTTGGAGACAGGACGAAAGTTCTTCAAAACAGCTGGGTCCAGGGAAGGCTTCTTGAGGAGGGGCCTCACCACCGCTTCCTTTAAAGGTTGCGGGAAAGACCCCTCCATCAAGGAGGCATTGATTATCGCCTGGAGCCAGCCTTGTGTCACCTCCCTACTGGCAGAAACCAGCCAGGAGGGGCATGGGTCCAATAAACAGGTGGCGGCATTCATTGCCCTCACGGCCTTGTCCACTTCATCAGGGGTCACATGGTCTCTTCTTCAAAACCTCCAGTGCTGGAGCACCCACAGCTTCTGGAGACAAGTCATTCCACTGGTTAATTGTTCTCACTGTCAGGAAATTTCTCCGTATTTCTAGGTTGCTTCTCTCCTTGATTAGTTTCCATCCATTTTTATTTTATTGTTTTATTTTCTTGTCACTTATTTTTTTTCAACTAGGAAGTTCTTGTGACACTTAGAAAAGCAACTATACCCTTCTGCTGCTGGGTAAGGGGGTCTTTAGAGGCCAAAGGTGGCTCCATGATGGTATTCAGATATGCATCCAAAATGTGCCTGTTCAGCTACCAAAAGGATACAGGAGTTTTCAGTTGTGGGGATGTCAGAGCTGTAGTCAAGGAAGAAATCGACAATGGACCTTCCATAGCACAACTGTTGTTCCTTGGCCTTGCTAGTGAGGAAAGGGATAGTCAGGCATGAAAGACCAGATCCACATATGAATAACAGAATAACACAGTTAGAAGTCTTAATAATAATAATAATAATAGTAAAGTTGGAAGGGACCTTGGAGGTCATCTAGTCCAACCCCCTGCTCAGGCAGGAAACCCTACACCATTTTGGACAAATGGCTGTCCAGTCTCTTCTTAAAAACTTCCAGTGTTGGAGCATTCACCGCTTCTGGAGCCAGGTTGTTCCACTGGTTAATTGTTCTAACTGTCAGGAAGTTTCTCCTTAGTTCTAGGTTGCTTCTCTCCTTGATTAGTTTCCACCCATTGCTTCTTGTCCTGCCTTCAGGCGCTTTGGAAAATAGCTTGACTCCCTCTTCTTTGGTGCAGCCCCTGAGATATTGGAATACTGCTATCATGTCCCCCCTTGTCCTTCTCTTCGTTAAACTAGACATACCCATACTTCTAGTCCAACCCCCTGCTCAAGTAGGAAACCCTATACCATTTCAGACAAATGGTTGTCTAGTCTCCTCTTTAAAACCTCCAGTGTTGGAGCACCCACAACTTCTGGAGACAAGTCATTCCACTGGTTAATTGTTCTCACTGTCAGGAAATTTCTCCGTATTTCTAGATTGCTTCTCTCCTTGATTGGTTTCCATCCATTGATTCTTGTCCTCCAGCGAAATCTCTCTGGAGGAAGGTGAGATTGTTGGGATCATCCACGATTCAAACAACCATTCCTTGCAAGTAGAACCTGCTTTTTGGTGGCCAGCTTATGAATTGAGAGGTTGGGGGTGGGGATTCCACCAAACTCAACCCCTGCCCCCCACAATTCTGCCCTTTATGGACATTTAGCTCCACCGAGTCTCATTTTTAATTATCTTTTGGAATTGATTGATTGATTGATTGTTGCATTAGAGAGATAAAGACCCTTCCTAAAGACGGTTTTCCTATATTTATCAGATGAATCTCTCCACCCCCAAAGGAGGAATCAGCTTGATTTTTTTAAAACAAACAAAACATTGAAATATATGAGTTTTTGGATTATAAGCAAAAGGGTGCTCAAATAATGAATGTCAGAAAGGCTAAAAACGGATTGATGGTTCAGACTGATTGATGGTTCAGACTGATTTGGTTCTAGCTTTGATTTAATTAGAAGTCATTTTCTCAAGGGAAACGGGACTCTGTTTGGGGGATTTTATGACAAGGGGGCCTCAAAACACACTAGTGGGAACTAGAGGATAAGAAAAGAATGGAACAGACTTCTATTACACAACTTACAGCACTTTTTTTTGGGCCAATCTTTTTGAAAAACAAAACAAAACAAAAAGAGGCTGGTAGCCCAGGCTAAAACAATCTAATGAATGGCAAAAAGAGCATCACAAAACAACTAACAAGGACCCCAGGTCTGGGTCAAAGCCAGGTTTTGAGGAGCCTTGGTGAGAGGGCGCTGCCCTCCTTTCTGGAGAGATGCTATTGCAGAATGTGGGGTCTGCAGCTGAGAAGACACACTTCCTAGGCCCCAGAAGATCCTGAAGGAACCTGGAATGTTCTCACTGTACTGGAAGAAGCAGCTGGAGAGAGCTCTCTCTCAGATATCTAGGCCAGGGGTAGCAATCTTGGCTCTTTTAGGACTCGTGGACTTCAATTCCCAGAATTCCTGAGCCAGCCATGCTGAGGGGAAAGGGAGAGGTTTCCAAGTTGAGCCATGCTGGCTCAGGAATTCTGGGAGT